GTGGAAAACTTACACCCCTCCCCTTTTACAAAGAATTGTCCCTCAATAAGGTCAAAGGTGACAAAGATGGCGGCGGCCTGAGAGTTAGTGTAGTAGGTAAGTAGTTAAGATTTCTCCTTTTTGGTGAATCTATTTACAATTGTAGCGGTTTTAAGTTAAAAATTGCATCCTACTGTAGTAGTTTGTGTAGGAAAAATCGTACCGAACCGTTCTTTTCTCTGCATATTTTGTGCACATGTGAGGTCAAAAATATTTGAAGACGTGCGGTTTTTTTGGGGGGGTTTTTAAATTGTAACTGTCTATCGTTTTCTTTATAATTTGTTCTATTATTATTAATTAGCATTAGCGTCAGGTACGTGTGGGGGGGGCGTTTCTATTATTCTATATTTGCAGCTGCAGCAAGGCTTTTCGACGTCCTTGATTGCAGAAAGAATTTGTTGTCGAGTTTTTAATGTCACATGCAAAAGATGTTCTTTTATTACTTCAGTCATTGATGCCCCCTGCCTCAAGAACTATAACAATGGTAAGGAATTGTAATATTAATATTTTTGTTATTCTAGGACTTCAAAATGTTTTCATATCATACTTCTACTCAATATAACTGTTACATGTACTTTACAGCCAAGATTATGTGTACTACTATCCCTGGTTATGTTGAAGTACATATTTGTCTTTTTTGGAAGTGTCAAATACAGCCAATTTCAACAGTTCTAGCAACTGTAAACCCTTTCTCCCATGAACCCCCAGTAAATCTGTATCTATAATAACCGGCTATATAGATACAAAACACACCATCTTATCTTGATTTATTTACATCCTTTTATTGATCTGTTAGTTAGTAACTGTTACATGTACATGTATATGCATGACATTACAATTTACATTGTACCTAAATGGATGATAACTAGAGTTCTTTTTTTGCTTCTCTATGATCTGTCTACAAGCCACAAGTCGCTTCTCTATGATCTGTCTACAAGTCACATTTTTTGGTATATTGCTGATTATGGCTTCATGGATTAAAATGTAATGATGTAATATTTTTGTATGACCAATACTTGTATGGCTTACAATATGGTTGTCTATGGTTGTCTTTCCAGAGGAGGAACTTCTGGTAGAGTACTGGAAAAGAGGCTACCAGTACTCTTGAGATCTCAACATTTTTTAGCAACTTTCATGACGTGGATCTAAGGCAGGTAGTACTATATATTATATCAGGGGGAGCTTCATTTGAAAACTCTTATGTGTACATGTTTGTCATGTGTTAAAGAAATGCTTGTTATTGTACAATTGTTAAAATATTGTAGCATCAATCTTTTCTACCAGCACAGCTCTTAATGTTGAATAAGGGTGGCTAAGCAGTTCTTTAGAAAGAGATGGTCAAGGAATATCATGGTGTACATGTAAAATAACTTTTAAAAGATGCAGAATGCCTCATCATGATAGGCTGTCTCTACATGATGTATTGTGTTATATGGTGTAGTGTATGAATATGCTGAAACAACAGTTTTGTTTTTCAATCTTATTTCAAGGGGAACAAACTAGGCAATTGTGCTGTCAACAAACCCATTTATTCATTTATTGTATACAGTGTGCGGCAGCTAAAGTACAGGTACAACAAGCTTGGGCTATGAAGGCGTCTTGGCACCAGCTCCAATGCAGAAGTGAGGGAGGCCATCCGGGTACGAGTTATCAAGTGTATAGCACAACACTTCCCATTTAAATCCAAATTTCAATAGTCATGTACTCACCTGTAACATTTCCTGTACATTTGTATCTCGTATAAAAGTATTCAATCAGTAATCAATGATTTATAGTTT